AAAGTTGTACATCAATTTAAAAATAAGTCAGAAAATAGGGAAAAACAAAGAACAGATGAGACAAAAAAACCCATATAAACAGCAAAATTGGAGATTTAAACACAGCCAAATCAATAATCATATTAAATGTAACAGATATAACACTCAAATTAAAATTAAAAGGCATAGATTTTCAGATTGGATAAAAAGCAAGGATAATTGCTTTAAGTACTGCTTTAAGTATTGCTTTAAGTACTTTTACAATTAAAAGGCATAGATTTTCAGATTGGATAAAAAGCAAGGATAATTGCTTTAAGTACATTAACAGTGTTAAAATAAGTCATCTCATAATAATAAAGGTATCAGTTTATCAAAAAGAAATGATAATCCCCAAAATTTACACACTCAGTAACTTTGAAATACATAAACCAAAACTTAACAGAAATTTAAAATTAACAGAAAAAAGATAAATATATAATTATAGTCAAAGTTTTCAATCTCTGTATCACAAAAATTTATAGAATATATAGGCAAAAAATTAAGAATGCAGTAGACTTAATACCACTATCAGCCAACTTGATCTAATTGCATTTAGGACCTTCCACTACTCGAAATCAGAATACACATTCTCCTTAAGTATACACAGAACATTTACAAAAATATACTATATACTGAAGCATAAAATAATTATAAGTGAATTTAAGGGAATTGAAGTCATACAAACTATGGTTTATGACTACAATGAAAATAAATTAGAAGTCAATAATACAAAGTTATCTGGAAAATGCCAAAATATTTATAAATTAAATAACATACTTCTAAATACTCCATCAAAGAAAAAATAAAAAGGAAATTAGAGAGTACGTGAAACTGAAGGAAAATAAAAACATCACATATCAAAATATGTGGGATAATGCTAAAGTATTGTTCAGAGAGATGGTTAAAACAGTATACACCTATGTTAGGAAAGATGGAAGGTCTCAAATTAGTAACTTCAGCTTCCATCTTAAAAACCTGAAAAGTTAGTGAAATATATAGTAAGCAGGAAAAAAATGAACTAATAAAAGTTACTGTGGAAAACAATGAAATGGAATAGAGAAAATCAGTGAAGCCCAAAGCCAGTTGATTTGTTGAGAAAAAATAAAATAAAATTGATAAACCTCTAGCAAGGCTAAGCAAGATAAAAAAGAGAGAAGAGACAAAATAAGAACATCAGGTATGGTGATACAAGTATCATTAATGCTTCTACTGCTATAAAAAGGATAATAAGGGAGTATTATGAACAATTTCATGCCAGTGAATTTGATAAATTTGCTAAAATGGTAAAATGGTTAAATTTTTAAAAGGCAAAGATACCAAAGCTCACTCAAAAAAAAAAAAAAAAAGATAAACTTAATACCTCCAAGTCTCTTAAACAAATTGAATTTGTAGTTAAAACATCTTACCATTAAAAAACTTCAGGCCAGATAGATTCACTGGTGAATTCTACCAATCATTTAGTAACAATTTAACATTGAATTCTTCTAGACTTTAATAACAATTTAACATTGAATTCTCTAAAAAAACAGAACAGGAGAAAACACTACCCAACTCATTCTATGAAACCAGATTTGCTCTGACATCAAAACAAGGCATAAACAATACACAAAATCTATAGTCAAATGTCAATCATAAAAATAAATGTAAAAATTCTTAACAAGCATTTAGGAAATATCACCCACCAATATGCAAAAAAGATAATGCATCATGATTACATGGTGGGGGTTCATCCATAGGCAAGATTGCTTCAACATTTGACAATCAATCAATGTAATTCACCTATTAAAACATTAAAGAAGAGGGGCGCCTGGGTGGCTCAGTTGGTTAAGCGTCCGACTTTGGCTCAGATCATGATCTCACGGTCCGTGAGTTCGAGCCCCGCTTTGGGCTCTGTGCTGACAGCTCAGAGCCTGGAGCCTGCTTCAGATTCTGTGTCTCCCTCTCTCTCTGGCCCTCCCCCGTTCATGCTCTGTCTTTCTCTGTCTCAAAAATAAATAAAACATTAAAAAAAATTAAAAAAAAACATTAAAGAAGAAAAAATATATAACACCTCAATAATGGCAGTAAAAGAATATTACAGGGGCGCCTGGGTGTCTCAGTTGGTTGAGCATCCAGTTCCTGATTTTGGCTCATGTCATGATCTCATGGTTCGTGGGATTGACCCCTGCATCGGGCTCTTTGCTGACAGCATGGAACCTGCTTGGAATTCTCTCTCTCCCTCTTTCTCTGCCCTTTCCCTGCTCCCACATAAATAAATAAACATTTAGGGAAAAAAAGAAAAAATAAATAAATATTACAAAATCTAACATACAACAAACAAGTAACAGAGAGGAACTTTCACTTGATAAAGAACATGTAAAAAGACCTATACTTAACTTTATAACTTATGCTAAAATTATGCTTTTCCCCTAAGACCAGAAATAAGGCAAGAGTGTTTGCTCTTATCAATTCAATAGAAGACTGAACTGGAGGGCCCAGCCAGTGCAGCAAAGACAAATAAAAGAAAGAAATGATGTTGATAATGGGAAAGAAGTAAAAACTCCTTATTTGCAGATTACAAATAGAAAATTCTATGGAGTCTACAAAAAAAAGCTGTTAGGTGTAATAAGGAAGTTCAGTTAAACTGTGGGACACAAATTCAGTATGCAAAACATCAATTGTATTTCCATCCAACTTGAAAATGAAATTAATAAGAAAGCAATTCCATTTACAATGGCATTTTTATTTTTTTTATTTTTTTATTTTTTTTAATGTTTATTTTTGAGAGAGATGGAGACAGAATATGAGTGGGGAAGGGAGAGAGAAAGAGGGAGACACAGAATCCGAAGCAGGCTCCAGGCTCCAAACTGTCAGCACAGAGCCTGACGCGGGGCTCAAACCCACGAGTTGTGAGATCATGACCTGAGTCGAAGTTGGACGCTCAACTGACTGAGCCACCAGGCGCCCCTACAATGGCATTTTTCAAAGGAAACAGGTAAATTTGATTAATAAATGCATAAGACTTATAGACTGAAAATGACAACCTATAGACTTAAAATGACAAGATATTGATGAGAGAAATTAAAGAAGACTCAAAAACTGGAAAGAAATATATTCATGGATCGGGAGACTCAATGTTATGAAAATGTAAATTATTTGCAAATTGACTTAGAGGTTCAATGCAATCCACAGTAAGCTTTTTTGTAGAAAGTGAAGAGCTGATTTTAAAATTGATATGGAAATGCAAAGGATCCAGAAGAGGCAAAACAACTTTGAAAAAGAAGAGCAAAGCTCAAGGATTTGCACTACCTTACTTTAAGACATATTATAAAGGTAATCAAGAAATCACGTGGTATTGAAATCAAGATAGACAAATAGATCAACAGAACAAAATATGATCAATTGATTTTCAACAAAAACGCAAGGTAATTCAGTGAAGAAAGCATGGACTTTTCTAATCATAATGCTAGAACAATGGGGTATGTACATGCCAAAAAAAAAAAAAAAAGGACTTCAACACATATCTTCACCATACACTAAAGGATTATAAACTTAAATGTAAAACCTAAAATTACAAATTGTGTAGGAAACAGAAAATCTTTGTGACCTGAGATTAGGCAAATATTTTTTTAAATAGGACACCAAATTCATAAAAGAAAAAAATTAAGTTGGACTTGATCAAAATTAGGAACTTCTGCTTTTTTAAAAAGAACTGCTTTTTGAAAGACATTGTTAAAGAGAATCAAAATATAAACTACAGACCAGAAGAAAATATTTACAAACAACATATATGTTAAACAACCTACCATCCAAAATATATAAAGACTCTCAAAACTCAGAAGAACAACTCAATTCAAAAATGGGCCAAAGATTTAAACAGATATTTTACCAAAGAAAATAAACAGTTGTCAAATAAGTGAACTGAAAAATTCTCAACATCATCAGTCATTAGAATTATGCAATTCAAAACCACAATAAGGTACCACTACACACACTTATGTCCAAAATGAAAACAAGACTGACCATATATCAAGGGTTGGCAAGGATGTGGAGCAACTGAAACTCTCATATGTTGCTGCTGGGAGTGTAAAAGTTATACCACCTTGGAAAACAATTTGACAGTGTCTTTAAAATAAGTTAAAACATACATCTACCAAATAGCCCAGTCATACTCCTAGGTATTTAACCATAAATATGAAAACATATGTCCATACACTCATTTGTACATGAATGTTTGTAGCAGTTTTATTAGTAATATCCCAAAACTGCAAACAATCCAAACATCCATCAATAAATTAACGCATAAACAAATTGTGGCATATTCATACAGTGGAATACTACTCAGCAATAAAAATGAATGAACCACTGATACATATAACACCATGGTGAAATCTCAAAATAATTATTGAGTTAAATACGCCAGACCAAAAAAAAATACATACTCTATGATTCCATTTATATAAAATCCTAGAAAATGCAAACCAAACAATGACAAAAATCAGATTCAGTAGGAGTGGGGCAAAAGGGAGGAATTACAAAGGGGCACAAGAAAATGGTTGGGGACGACGGATAAGCTTATTATCTTGATTGTGACGATGGTTTCACAGGTATATACGAATGTCAAATTTTATCAAATATGTACCGTAATATGTGCAATTTATTCTATGTCAATTATACCTCCATACACCTGTTTTAAACATGAATAAAATAAACACTACTCCCAGAGGCATTTTGGTAGCTTGAGTAGCCAAAATCCTAGGCTTGCCCCATCTACTTCATCCAGTTATTTATATGGATCTTGTGCCTAAGGGAATAATGAGTAGCACATTGAGATGGATCTAAATGACAGGAAGACAGAAAATACCATTAACTGGCACATCCACTAAATACTATGCAGTGAAACAAACAGAATAATTATTTAACTTTTCTATAGAAAAATTAATTATCAGAACAAAAATGATTTTTGTTTCAATAAAATATAGTAAAAATTCACAGATACTCACCTCTTTGGATAATCTTGTAAAGACATCTCCTCCCCTGAGAAAATCTAGTATTAAATACAGCTTCCCTTCAGTCTGAAAGGCTAATTATAAATTAGAATGTAGTAACAGAACAATCTTAAAGGCTTAACAAGCTTAGTATAAATTTTGATAAACAAATTTAGAGTTTTATCATTAAACACTATAAAGGAATTAAGAATTTATTCAAATGGTCCAATGTTATTGGGTAACATTATCTCACAATTGAATTTAGTGTTGAAATAGCTATAAACGCCTTCCCAGAACATAATCAACTTTGCATGTGGCTTTACACAGAAATGTCTACCACCATCATTTTCCTGATTTATGGATCAATGGTGTTCAATTGCAAACTTCCTGAACTCTGCCTCCCTACCTAATGAAAATCTACTAATTCTTTCAAGCTCAACAAAAATGCCAACTCCTCTATTAAGCTTTCCTCTATTAAGGATTTCTCTCTTTTCACATTTCCTGTAGCATCTTTACCCTCTTCTGCATAAGAATTATTTGGTACTGCTTTTGAGATATCATTGTTCTTTATTTATGTCTCTCTTAACTCCACTTTGGAATGTACAGTTAATTCGTTTACATGTCTGTGTCCCCATAGATATAATTTTTTTGAGATCAGAGATTGTTTCACCTCTAGAGCCTACTGCATTCAATACAGTGTTTTGCACACAATTGGTATATACTGATTAATGTCATGTCACCCTAGAGATTTAAGGAAGAGATTTAGGATAACAGGGAGTAAGAGAAAAATGGGTGGACATTTCTTGAGTGTTTTTTATAAAAATAATTTAATACCTACTTTACTGCATTATTTTTCAAAATTACCTAAGAATTTTTTAAATCTACTGCTAATTTATCTCTTGAAAATTTAAAGTGACATTGTAGAATGTATCAGTGATTTAATGATGTATATACCTTTGAATTCTCCAGGAAAACCAAACTTCACAATCTCATGCATGCATTAAATTATCAATGGAGCCATGATTCAAACTCAGAACAGTCAGACTCCAAATTCATGTTCTTTCCATTATACCTACTTGCTTCTTACTGGTATTCTTCTCCCCCCAAATATAAGAGAGAATAACTTAAATGGACTAATATACCTACATTGTCCTCTCCAATAGAAGTAGGAAATAAATGAATATACTCATTATGAACAACATGTAAGAGGAACACATGCAAACACCAAATGCTTTGAATAAATCATCACACTTTATAGCCTAAGGTCATTAAAGGTACAGCATAGCAAAGAAATACTACCAGACAGGTAATCAGAAGATACTATCTTATTACCTTAGACAAGTTAACCAACAGATACAGAAAATACAATTCAAAGCTGGTTATTAATTCTTATTCTTATTTCAGATGAATATGTTTTACATAGTTGAATTATTAAATCAGTTTGAAGTATTTATTTCCTATTATATTATTACTTGAAAGGAAAGCTTAACTCTCTAATTCCATAAATTAAAAAAATTACATACCATAGTGTAATTTGACAATAAATGGATGATTTACTTCCACCAGTATATCCCTCTCCATCTTTGTCCGAACTCTGTCTCGAACTAAAAATTATAGTAGAGTAGAATATATTACTCTTCTATATAAAATTTAAGTAGAGATCTCATAAATTATTCACCAAACAAAAATATGAAAATATAAAATGCAACTTTATAAGTGCCTAAATTTGCCTAAATTGGCAGTCTATATATTCCTAGACATTAATTACCATACTATCAGAAAGCCAACAAATTTAGTTTTGATCTAGAGGTGGGTTAAAGTGACATAAATAGGTATTTGGTTAATATGCATTTATTATGTATTGGTCTCCGATTGTTCAAATGTGTTTACTGATTAAAACTGAGCAATGTTGGGGCACCTGGGTGGCTCAGTTGGTTGAGCAATTGGCTTCGGCTCAGGTCATGATCTCACGGTTTGTGAGTTTGAGCCCCGCGTCGGGCTCTATGCTGACAGCTCTGAGCCTGGAGCCTGCTTCGGATTCTGTGTCTCCCCCTCTCTCTCTGCCCCTCCCCCACTCATTCTCTGTCTCTCTCTCTCTCTCAGAAATAAATAAACATTAAAAACATTAAAAAAAAAACTGGGCAATGTTATTGTTATCACAGCCTAGAAGATGGTGTATATATGTGTATCCAAGTGGTTGTGCTTTTTCAGTATGCAAAACCAACACAAATAGAACAGAAAAAAAATTAAGAAACTTGAAATAAAATAATATAGCTTAATAAAACAAGTACATTTTAAGTAAAATAAAATGTGTCACTTTTATACCATTAAATTTTTACCAGGGTATACTCTCACTAAATTATAGTATATGCCAATATCAAACCTAGAAATATCACTTACAGGCTAGAAAACTGTAACAATTACTAACGTTTAAAGAAAACTGAATCTACTCAATTTTTACAAGCAATACACAGCATATTTGTTAAAACAAGATTTATCAAATTCTATTTTATTAAACTTTCTCATCTTCTACCTTTTAAAGAAGCTTTTTTTAACACCTTCATTGCATAGAGCTGCCCAGCATCAGGACCAGTCTTCTTTCGAACAAGAAAAACCTAACAGAGGAATTTTTTGAAAAAAGTAAAATTCACATTTCAAGAAATTCTTGCTATACACATAGACTAGTGCATGTTTCAGGCCCTACATTTTCTCTAATTTTATAAAGATAGATCTTTCTCTATAAATTATACTCTTACTTGATTTTTTTCTCATTTTCGTTCATTTACTAAATCACACTCTCATACATATTACCATAGGAAAGAAAATTATTAAAATAGATGACATGGTCAAGGACTTTAAGAAGTTTGTGACATAAAAGATAAGCAACATAATGAAGGGCAATTTCATCTAAAGGAACTCCTTTTAAGACCCAAGCTCCTTTTTGTTACCTTAATAAAGACCAAAAAATGATATAACTCTTAGTTTGATATCTTCATTTCTACTTCCTTATTGGTCCATTTTAGAAGTTAGCATACATTTTATTTTCTGTAAGAAATCAGAGGCAATTATATCTGTCTGCCAGGTTGAAGAATCAAGATGGCTAATTATTCAAATACATTAAAGTTAAACCCTTTACTGTTACTGAGCAAGCTTAGGTAATACTATCTCATATTTTCAAATTAAAATTATGACTCATTAAAGCTAAGTTTCTAGGGGTGCCTGGGTGGCTCAGTCAGTTAAGCATCCAACCTCAGCTCAGGTTATAGTCTCATGGTTCATGAGTTTGAGCCCCACGTCAGGAAGTGTGCTGACAGCTCAGAACCTGGAGCCTGTTTCGGATTCTGTGTCTCCCTCTCTCTCTGCTCCTCCTCGGCTTGCTCTCTGTCTCTCTCTGTCTCTCTCTGTCTCTGTCTCTCTCTCAAAAATAAATAAACATTAAAAAAAGCTGTTTTTAAAAAGCCTCAGTTATAAAGATAAATATTAATAGATGGAAATTTTACAGGAGTTATTTACTAGTAGAGGGTGGTTTCATTTTTTAAAAATAGTGAAAGTTGTTCACTGCTTTGAAATAAACTCTATAGAAACAAAAAAAAAACAATAGAACAGATTAATGAAAGCAGGAGTTGGTTCCTTGAAACAACTAATAAAACTGATAAACCTCTAGCCAGATTATCAAAAAGAAAAGAGAAAGGACCCAAATGAATAAATCACAAATGACAGAAAAGAAATAATAACGAACACCACAGAAATACAAACAGTTGTAGAAGAATATGAAATACAAATATGAAAAACTATATGCCAACAATTTGAGACAGCCTGTAAGAAATGGATAAATTCCTAGAAACAATATAAATTACAAAAACTGAAACAATAAGTAATAGAAAACTTGAACAGACCAATTACTAGCAATGAAATGAATCAGTAATCAAAAAAATCCAAACAAACAAAAGTTCAGGACCAGATGGGTTCGCAGAGTTCTACCAAACCTTTAAATAAGAGTTAATATATATTCTTCTCAAATTATTCTAAGAATTAGAAAAAAGAAGGAAAACTTCCAAATTCATTCTATTAGTGAGCATTACCCTGATACCAACACCAGAGAGACACCACAAAAAGAGAACTACAGGCCAATATCCCTGATGAATACAGGTGCAAAAATTCTTAACAGAATATTAGCAAAATTAATCCACAATAGATTTAAAAAAAATCAAGGTTGTCTGGATGGCTCAATCAGTAGAGCATGCATCTAATCTTGGGGTTGTAAGTTCAAGCCCCACAGTGGGTGTAGAAATTACGTAAAAATAAAATCTTAAAAAAAACTATCATTCACCATGACCAATTGGGATTTATTCTTGGGTTAAAACAGTGGTTCAATATTCATAAATCAATCAACATGATACATAGCATTATTAAAAGAAAGGACAAAAACATTACAATCATTTCAAAAGACGCAGAAAAAGCATTTGACAAAGTACAATATCCATTCATAATAAAAACCCTCCAGAAAGTAAGATTAGAGGGAGCAAACCACAATATAATTAAGGTCATATATGACAAATACACAGCTAATATCATCTTTATTGGGGAAAAACTGAGAGCTTCCTAACAAGACAGGAAAATCCACTCTCACCATTTTGATTTAACATAGTACTGGAAGTCTGATCCACAGCAATCAGAGAAAAAAAAAAGAAGAAGAAACACAAAGCATCCAAATTCTTCCTTGCCAGAAGGAATAAAACTTTCACTATTTGTAGATGGCATGATACCATATATAGAAAACCCAAAAGACTCCACAAAAAAAACTTACTAAAACTCATAAACAAGTTCAATAGAGTCACAAGATACAAAATGAGTGTACAGCAATCTGTTACATTTCTATATACCAATAATGAAGAAGTGAAAAGAGAAATCAATAAATTGATCCCATTTCCAATTGCACCAAAACCATAAGATACCTAGGAATGAACCTAATGAAACAGGTAAAAGATCTGCACTCTAAAAAAGTATAGAATACTGGTGAAAGAAATTAAAGAGGACACAAGGAAATGGAAAAGCGTTCCATGCTCATGAATTGGAAGGACAAATATTGTTAAAATGTCTACATTACTCAAAGCAATCTACACATTTAATGTAATCTCTAAAAAAATACTACAGTATTTTTCACAGAGCTAGAACAGTCCTAAAATTTGAATGGAATCACAAAAGACCCCACATAGCCAAAGCAATCTTGAAAAGAAAAGCAAACCTGGAGACATGACAATTCCAGACTTCAAGTTATATTACAAAGCTGTAGTGATCAAGAAACTACATTACTGGCAAAAAAGAGACACACAGATCAATGGAACAGAATAGGAAACCCAGAAATGAACCCAGAACTATATGATCAAATAATCTTTGACAAAGTTGGGAAGAATAACCAATGGATAAAAAACAGTCTCTTCAACAAATGATGCTGGGAAAACTAGACAGTAATTTGCAAAAGAATGAAACTAGACCAGGGGCACCTGGGTAGCTCAGTCAGTTGGGTATCCGACTTTGGCTCAGGTCATGATCTCATGGTTTGTGAGTTCAAGCCCCACATCAGGCTCTGTGCTGACAGCTCAGAGCCTGAAGCCTGCTCCAGATTCTGTCTCTGTCTCTCTCTCTCTGCCCCTCCCCTGCTTGTGCTCTGTCTGTTTCTCTCTAAAAAATAAAAAAATAAAACTGGACCACACTTTTTTACACTATACACAAAAACAAATTCAAACTGAATGACAGATGTATGTGAGACAGTAAACCATCAAAAACCTAAAGGGGACATAGGCAGCAACCTCTTTGACATCAGGTATGACTAGGTATATCTCCTGAGCCAAGAGAACCAAAGGCAAAAATAAACTACTGGGACTTTATCAAAATAAAAGTTTTCTGTACAGTGAAGGAGACAAACAACAAAACTAAAAGGCAACTTACACAATGGGAGAAGATATTTGCAAAAGACATATCTGATAAAGTGTTCGAATCCAAAATATGAAAATAACTTATCAAAGTCAACACCCAAAAAATAAATAATCCAATTAAAAAAATGGGCAAAAGACACGAATCAATATTTTTCCAAAGAAGACATACAGATGGACAACAGACAAATGAAAAGATGTTCAACACCACTCATCAAAAGGGAAATACATATCAAAACCACAACGAGATATCACCTCACACCAGTCAGAATGGCTAAAATTAACAACACAGGAAACAACAGGTGTTGTTGAGGATGTGGAGAAAGGGGAACCCTCTTACACTGTTGGTGGGAATGCAAACTGGTATAGCCACTCTGGAAAACAGAATGGATGTTCTTCAAAAAATTGAAAATAGAACTACAATATGATCTACCAATTGCATTACTAGGCATTTACCCAAAGGATACAAAAATACTGATTTGAAGTGATACGTGCACCCCAATGTTTACAGCAGCATTACCAACAATAGCCAACTTAGGGGAAGACCCCAAATGTCCACCTACTGAAGAATATATAAAGATGTGGCATACACACACACACACATAGAGTGTAATATTACTCAGTGATGAAAAAATAATGAAATATTGCCATTTGAAAGGACATGGATGGAGCTAGAGAATATTATGCTAACTGAAATGTCAGAGAAGGAGAGATACCATACAATTTCACTCATATGTGGAATTTAAGAAACAAAACAAACGAACATGGGGGTGAGGGGAAGAGAGAAAAATAAAGATACAGATTCTTAACTATAAAGATCAAACTGATAGTTGCCAGAGGGAAGATGGGAAGAAGATAGGGTTAAATGTGTGATGGGGAATAAGGAGGGGATTTGTGATGAGCACCAGGTGATTTATTTAAGTGTTGAATCAGGAAAGTCTACAACCGAACCTGCATTACACTGTATGTTAACTAACAGGAATTTAAATAAATCTTGAGGGAAAAACAAAACAAAAGAAAGAAAAACAGAAGGACCAACTGAATGTCCACTTAGAGAGTAGTTAGACCACCAAGTCCCCTCTTTATCTTAGCTCAGTGGATGGTTGCCTTCTGTGTTCTCACTCCAATAAAATTCTGTCTTATTCTCTGGAGAAATCTCTCAACTGTATGACGCTAAGCACAAACCCTAAGCCTAAAACACTTTAACCCTGACTCTATGCCTAACCCTACCCCTTACCAATAACCCCTAAGCGCTACATCTAGCCCTAACTCTAACCCTAAACTTAGCCTCTGGAGAGGTCTCAAACTGCTGGAATAGAGGCACGTAGACTCACCCTAATGTTAAACCTAGCTCCAAACCTTAACCCTAACCCCTAACTGCTAACCATTAATCCCAACCCTAACTCTAACCCTAAACTGATCCCTCTGTAGAGGTCTCTGAATTGCAAGATAATAGGCATATACCCTCACCCTGGCTGTAACTCTAACCCTAACCCATACCTTAGCTCTAAACCAAACCCTAATCCAAGATCTGAGGAAAAAAATTTGCTATATATATCATATGTATGTATGAGAAAAAAAAGAAACATAGAGGCAAACCAAGAAACAGACTATAGACAGCAAATGATGGTTGCTAGAGGGAAGGTGGGTGGGATGTATGGGTGAAATAGGTGATAGAGATT